CTCCCCCAGAGGGGATGCAGCCAATGAGAGGGCTGTGGGCAGCGGCGCCGCGGGGCCTGCTGGGAGTTGTAGTCTGTGGTGCCGTGGCCGCCATTTCAGGGGGGCGTGGGGCGAGCAGGGTTGTGCGCGCGGAGGTGGCGGCCGCGTTGAGGCGCGTGGGCTGGCACGAGCAGGAGTCGTGAGGCAGGGCCGGGAGAGTCCGACACATGAACACGCTTATCCTTCATTATCTGCTTTTTATCGCTTTATGGTATAATTTATAGGCCTTTCTCAGCATTGAGAGGCTCCCCATGGAGGGGTAGTATGCGCACATGCACAAAATGACCGCCGGTTCTCCCATGTGGCTAAAACTTGAGACTTCGTGCCTGGTGCTGGGTCCGAACACAGCAAATCTGGCTGGGATTCTCCAAAAATACGAAACAATGATGAAAAAATGAAGCGTTGGGCTATGTGTCCAGTCTTGATGGGTCAACATATCACCGTATTACACAACAACACCAACAGGTGTGTGGCCCAGTGTCACTGTCGCTCAAGGTGTCCCTTTCTGGTAGTAATATAATGTCCTGCGTTCCTTTCCTGGCATTTACGGAGGGTCTTATCACTGCTCTGGAAACTAGGGTAAACGGGAGGGAGAAAGACAAATAGAGGTGTTAAAACAGCTCAGACGCCAGCATAAGAGGTTTTCTTCTGTGACTTGTTACAATACCATTATCTGTTAAAAATCATCTAATTCTGTAGAAACGGTTGTTCCAACAGGAGACTGTGTGATGGCATTTTGATGTAAAACTCACCCTACAGTAGGACCTTAAAAAAACAGGGCTTTAGGGTACATCATTCTGGACAGCATTCAGCCCTTCCATCTGTCTCTAGCAGATGTTTGTCTAACCAACTTATAAAAACTTTAAGTGATGGAATTGACAACTACTTTGAGCCACCTATTCCAACTCTTTGCTATACTTTCATTAGAGCACAATTCCTCATTTCTAAACCTTTTTTTTTTTTTTTTTGCACTTAGGTTATTTTTGTTCTAGCCATAGTGGGCATGGAGAGTAATTTATTCTCTTTTTCTTTGCTGTCACTTACATGCATGAAACTATCACTCCAAGTTCCCTTGACTTTCTTCTCTATAAGTAACGCAATGTTTTATTCACTCTCATTTTGATTTAAATTGGTTTGAATCTTTCGTGCAGTATGGTGTTCAAAATGGGAAAGAATAATCCAACCATATGTCAGGAAAACCTTCTAGATCATAAAAATTGCTTAAAATGTGTTCTGGTTGTACATGTCAGGATATGTTACCACCGCTTTTTCTATTTTTTTGTTCAGCAATATGACAATGTGCACTAATGTTTCAGTGTTCGGTAAAATTTTGGTCCTTTTCTGTGGGACTGCCGGATGACTTCATCTTCTCATAATATTTGTGCATTTTCCTAGTCCTGCCTAGATGTAGAAAAGCTTTGCATTTTTTTCAAAATTAATCATTTTTTTTGGATTTTTCTGATAAGAGTGTTAATTTTTTTTTCCTTGATATTTGCAGGTCCTTCTAGCTGCTTGTCATTTACAAAGTGAATAAGCACACTTGCGCTTCCATTACCCAAATTCTTAGTAAAAATAGAAATTAGTGCTTGATCCAGAAGTGATTCAAATGACACCTCAATATTCCTTCCAGATTGGCCATGGATCACAAATCATCACTCTGTAAGTACAGTTTCCTATCATTTTTGTATTTCTTTTATAATCACTTGATAAAAGCAAGCTTTTTCTACTTATGAGATAATATTAAAAGCCTTTTTGTATATAAGATAATGGATAGCTACAATTTCATACATATTCACCCAACGTGTGATACTGTCAGCAAAGAACTTAGGTTGTTTTCACATGAACCCACAAAATCCACAGTGGCTGCCGCAAATCTCCTTGATATCCCCTAGGTATTTATAAATGGTTTGTTTGATTATTTATTGCCCTCTTTTCTGAGATTAACTTTAAAATGACTAGCTCAAGTCATTATATTCTTTTCTCTGATTCTCTCGTTTATTTTTTTTTAATTTTGCAAACATTGTATTTGCTCTTCTCCAGATTTCTGAAACCATGCATTTTCTCCAGAGTTATTGAAGACATCTGCCAATGACTCTGAGATTGCTTTCGTTGGTTCTCATCCATGGCAGCTTATTTAGAAATATCCAAGTTAGGTAATTTGATTTTAACCCATCAGTTTCCAGTTAGTGAGAGGGGAACAGATTTCTAACAGACATTTCATGATTTAAGATGCGGTGCAAAGCAGAGTTGAATTAATAACTTCCTACTGGTAGAGAAGAATTAGCAGTGGTCTACAGGAAGACTAGGCTAGGAAGCAATGGCAGAGATCCGGGAGATTGTTGGTAGCATGCAAAAAAAGTGCCAAACTTTTGCTGCATTTATTAAAATAAATCAGACTGTCGCGTGACTTGCTGATAACATCTCTATGGCATATCACCATGATGCTAGAAAAGATTGATCTCATCTGCTTCTAGCTAACTAAAAGTGAAGTGTCTAGGCAGCTTTCTGGACTCTCTGTGGACAGTGTGTAGAGATGAGCATGTATGGAGAACGATATGCTCCATCCATCCTACCCATCTGCTTTAGGATTAGGTGAATCATCCTCCAGAGATACCTGTCTCTGTTGCCTACAGAGGAAACTAAGGTGACCACTTTGGATTCGATACTTACTTTTTTTTGGACTGCTGAAGCTAGAAGATGAAGTCTAGCCTGTTCTCAAAGGTGATTGCCTGTTCTCAAAGGTGATTGCCTTTGAATCAAGCTGTGGAGTTTTTCTGAAAGATTCTGAGGGGAAGCTTGTCAATCCAGTGCCTCTGTTTAACTGCTCTTTTGAGGAGGAGATAGTCTGGGTATTCTGGGGTCTCAGTCATTTCTCCTCCACAGTGGTACCTACTCAGAAAAATTGGCTTCATTGGGTAAAAGCCCCACCTGTCGTTCCTGCTAGTAGCCCTTATCTGTCATTGAAGAATTGGCGAAAAAATAGACCGTTAATCTTTGCATGGGCCCTCTGCCAGATTTCTTGGCTTCTTCTTGGTTTTGAGAATAATTGTAGACAATAAGGTACTTTGGTTGGCTATTTTAAGAAAATGGACCTTATAATTAGATGTGGAATCCGTCTAATTAGACATGGAAGCTGAATCACTGGCTTTACATCTACCAACTTGTTCCCAGAACTCATCAAAAGTCCACATTTATCTTTATATCTGAACTCAGTATTTCTGCATACCTCTGTGTGTTGTACATTTTGGATCTGAAAAACTTCGCATTTAAGGGAAATAAGAGTAGAGTCATAGAGCTGAAATCTGGAATTGAAGTTCAATTCCAAGTATCAAAAACACTGGTCCAAACTTGTTTTCTTAGCATTGAAAAGTGAAAATCTTCCTTTTTGTCATCTGAACTGGAAACAAAAAATATGGACAGAGGGGTCAGGGTCAGCTCCTTTTTATAATCATCTGTCATTCTACTCAACAGAAGAACAAAAGAAACAGTCGATAAAGTTATTGGGGAGTGATTGCAGTGGGACACTCTAGGTCAAATTTCTGCCTGATGTTCCTTAGTGACTTTGACAGTTTATCCTGGGAACATTTTGGCTGCTGATCATAATTACAAAACGAGTGACAGAAAAAGAATGTGGTGCATAAGGGCTGGTTTTACGCCGTTTGGGGAGCACCTACTATTGCGAGGACACTCAGTTTAGAATGGTGCCAGCTGCTGGAAATGGAATGATAATGAGGAGGAGGATGGCACATAGTTAATAAACCACTTTTTAGAGGACAGCAACACTGGAGAAGCAGACACAGATTTTAAACAGCCTGTTCTTTTCATGCCTCCCTATTCTTCCTTGAACCAGTGATTTGGAAGGTCCCTCTTATATAACCAAGCTAATCCTGCTTTGGAAATGGAGTGTAATTTAGGACCATTAAAAACATTAATATTCACTTACTGGCTCTGAAGTATGTTAGCCAGCATGTTCCGTGGTTTCACACAGTGCAGATCTGCATTTACTACAAAATTATGTATGTCAATTACCTCTATTGCATTAGCACAGAATTGACATTTAATTTCTGGTTTTGAAGCTGGGCCTCACTGTGGGTTGACTGACTGTGGGTGCTGAACCCAGTTGTGCTGCATAGTACCATAATGCAAATGACAAAGACTGTGTGATTGCTTCGATAGCCAGAAGTGGGAAATAAGGGGGGAGAGTGGAAATGGGGGAGAATAAAGCATAAATTAATTTCCCGCTGTCTCTAAGTGGCTCCTTTCAGTTAGTGACATTGCTCACAGAAATGGGCCACAATTGCCATTTGGAGAAGTCAGTTTTTCCTGCTCTGTGACATGCTCAAACTCGATTTCCACATTTTTTTTTCCAGTGTGACCAAGCTCTCGCGTTGCCCTGAATGCTGGAAGCTAAAGGAGACTTTAGTAGTTGTTACAGCAGGTCTCCAAAGCTCTGTGCCACTAGAGGGCAACGTGACTCTATTCATTTGTACACTCACACACACGTGTGCACAGGAGTGTTCACCACACAAGTGCATTTAGGCAACACTCGTGGCACGGGTCTGAAGGCGGGTTCAGTGACAGTATCAGTGCTCTATGCAGTGTGTCTGTTAGCATCAGTTATTTCTATGCAGGGCTTGATTTTAAATGCACAAACTCTGCCAGCAGTAGTTTATTTAGCCACAAGGTGGAAGAACAGCTTTACTTACGATGCCACAACTTGAATGAAATATGCACGCACTGGCCAAGTTTAATGATTGCCATTATTTGCTGGTTATATTGCACCAATTCTGAGGGACCACTGGGGATCTGACCTCCTCATGCTAAGCGTAGTATAGATACACTCTGCAGTCCTGCAAGGACCTTTTTGCTGGCAGATCTCAAT